ATCCATCTATCTATCTATCTATCTATCTATCTATCTATCTATCTATCTATCTATCTATCTATCTATCTATCTAATGTTTGCTGTGATTCATGTGTACACCTGGTGCAGTGGGAGAGAGCAGGTCAGAACCTATTTTTGGCCCCGTTGGTAACTGGTGCAGAGTTAGCCTCTGACTCATGGTAACCCATAAACAGGGAACAAAGTACTAGTCCTAGGCAATCCCTTCGATTCGCTGTGGATTGGGCAATCGTGGTCCATAAAGTTTCAGACTGAATTTGGAAGTAGATTGCCAGGCTTTTCTTCCTACTTTGTTCTAGTCTAGAACCTCCACCGAAATATCTGGCGCATCAGCCATCTCAGCTTCTACTGAACAGAGCAGTTACGCAGGAGGTGAATTGGCCAAGAATCCCAAATCTCTGGCATGGAGGCAAACAGTTCACTGATACAGCGCCATTATTCCATATGCTTTCTTCTTTATAAGTGGTAGTGTCAAGCGCTGTGTTCTACACAGAAAGGAGCCAAGACTCGACTGGGAGATGACTCACATCATCCAACCTCAATCATTATTAAAAGTGTTCCTGCCAGGCTAGTATTTTCACTCCACTTTCAACAGATGGAGTCAGGCTTTGTTGTGTTTATTTTCCAAGGAGTTTTCTCGAGGCAAAATTTAGAATATCAGCCTTCTATGGAAAAGATTCAATTCCCCTTCAACCATACCCTTTTTAATGAGACAGTGCAAGATCCACTACCCCAATGGAAGAGACTTTTTACCGTAATTTTTATTGCCAACAGATTCACAGTTACAACCATGTACATCATGAAACTATTTATATTAAAAAATCTTTCTCTATCCTTGAGCGTTGGTTAGTATGCACAAGTTAAGAACCTTTCACAGAAATGTGACAAGCTATGTTTTATAGAAGACTTAAATGATTAAGTCCATGCTTTTAAATTTATGTACAAGTGCAAAACCTAACACCCAAATGTTTTAGTATTTAAGTCAAATATCCAAAGGGTTTTCTGCATAATAAAAAATGCACACACCACTATTCTTAAGACAAAGGCACATTTTCCGATAACCAATTATGATGAGAAGTGCAGCATTACCTAAAAATATGGCACCATTCATTCTTGGGTTACAGCAATGACACTTGGAACGCAGCGCAGTGGCATCCACTTGACGAGCCAAACAAATCAAGAAGGGACAGTAATTGGAAACCATATACTTGTCTACAAAATTGAAATAGTTTCACTCAGAGTGAGGAGGGAATTTAAACCAACTCTCTTCTCATCTCCAAAACATTGGCCACATAGTGGAGGTTTTATGAGTTTTATAATGCAACTCACATTAGAGAACTTCAAATAACTGTGTATTTCCACTCCTCAGATACTCAACAGGACAATTTTGTCCAATCAAAGTAGAAAATGGTGAATTAAAAAAGAAACAAACAAGAAAATGGTGAATTATTATTAAGTCAGACTTAAGAGATCATTATAATACAAATTACAATAATTTTTTCCCTCACAAAAGTGCACGGAAAATAGCCACAATATTTCAAAGTTATATTCATCTGTAAATATGTGTAATTTGCCACCAAAATGACCCTTTAAAAATAATAAATGAAACATTAAACTTATATGGAGTTTTTTCTTGTTCCTGGGATTTAACACTTAATGCTTAAGTGTTGTTTAATTTTAAATACAAACATTCATTTGCTTAATTTTACAGTATTCTGAAACAATTTATATTTAAAAGACAAATGAACAGAGAGCATCTCATTTGTATTCAACCCATAGTCATAACAAAAAAGTAATCAAATGTTCAAGGATGCATTTGCTCTGTATTTTCTGCTTTGTTAATTGCCATTGGATGTTGATGGCTAGAAACTTTGGTCATGGTCAACATTTTTCCTAGATGAATGTGAATGAACTGCCTCCAAGCAAAGTATCGCAGATTATTCTTCATATTTTTTTCCACCTACAGCATTTCAAGATGAAACAACACAACAGGAGCCTAAAACTAAATGTGATTTAATTTCGACTGCTTTCATTAATTAGAGTCTAATCATTAGGAAGGAGCTACACGTATTTGGGAGCTACAGGCTTCATTTGGGCAGAGCATTGATGGAAGCAGAAGATGATGCTGGAATAGTCTCAGCTCTGTCTGCTTCCAGTATGCCCGGTGAATCCCAGCAAATCCAGACCTTCCCTAAAGGGGTCTTGCCCTACTCCTAGGGTCCATGCCCCCCTCTGCCTGCCTCCTTTAGGCTCAACACGTGTCATCTACTTTTCAAAGCTTTCACTGCCTCCCAGACTATCTTGGGGGCTTCATCGTCCATGGCTGTATGGACTTAGACCTGACACGATTGTGGAAGTTACCCTTTAATACTCAAATGCAGTGGTTCTCAACCTTTGTAATGCCGTGACCCTTTAATACAGTTCCTCATGTTGTGGTGACTCCCCCAACGATAAAATTATTTTCTTTGCTACTT